ATAAAATATTAAAAGATTTTAGTAATTTATATCAAATGTGCAATAATTATAGATTTGATTTTTTTAAAAGTTTGGCAGCTCTTATATATAATAGTTTTAAAAATAAAATTATTGTAATAGTTCAACATTAATTTTGAGATTTTTTTTCATAATATATGTACTTATTGATTTTATATCAAAAAAAGTTTTAAGATATATAAATTAAAATTATAAAAAAGAATTTGTAATTAGATCAGATAGTAATATTGAATATAATTCTACATTTTCTATTATTTACTCTATGCTTTTGGTAAATGTACTAATAAACATAAAACACAATACCTTGATTATAATCAATTATTTGATTTTATAGATTTTATACTTGAATTAGTATCTTTAAGTATTTATTTTTAAATCATAAAATATAAAAAATAATTATTATATTACCTTTTATATCAAATATGAAAAGTTTATTTAAATGTCTAGTTTAAAGTAATATTATCTAAGCTGAATTTTAATGAAGCATTATTCATTACAAATTATAAAATATATGTATTATTTTAATCTATATATAAAACAAAATAAGATTTCTTTAGAATATATAATTGAATATTTCATATGATTCTAATTTTTATTAAAAAAAATAATAATAAATTAAAAGTTAGAATATATAATTACTAAATTATAAATACTAAGTAAAATGTTTAGTTTTTAGCATTTACGTTTAAAATTATATTTGAGACAATGAACAATAAATCTAAATAGATTAAAGAAATATTTAATAACTAACCTTACTATACAACTTAAAGAGGTAAAAATAACTATTGATCTATATTATGCATTAATTAATATTCTTTATTTTCTTTTTTTGTATAATAATAAATATATTATAATACAAATAATTTACAAAATGAAGATCATATGACATAGCAAAATGATCTGCAGAAAATTAGTACAACTTAAACCATCTGTAAATTGGTTGATAAATGATCAACACACAAACTTTAAATAAAATAATCAATGAAAAGAAATAAAATCATTGATCATGATGTTATATAATATAAGATTAAATTAGTATATCAAAGAAAATCTAAAGGAATAGAAGCTAAAAAAGAAGAATGTAACAATGATAGAGTAATTATTAAAATATTTTTATGAAATAATTTAGTCATTAATTATAGGATTATTATAAAAAATTAGATAGTAATTATTTTAACATAATATAAACATTAATTATAGATGAGAAAATTATTATATAATTATTCTATAATAAGATATAAGAATAGTATAGAAATTTTATTATAAATAATTACTGAAAATTATCATAAAAAGATAACTTTTTTAAATTGAAATTTTAAAAGTATAACTTGCAATCTTTGAGAAAATGCTTTTATTTTGTTATAAAATAAATTTTTAAGATAGTGTTATTTTATTTGTTGATTTAAGTAACTTTATACAAGTTAAAATCCTATGAATATTGAGTAAAATAAAGAATAAACTTCTTTATTAGTATTTTAAATTAAATATATAAAAATATATTCTTGATTATTTTGAAAAGTATTTTAGAAAATTAAATTAATAAAGTTTTTATACTTTTTAATTTAGAAATTTAAATTGTAAATGGACAATAAAATGAGATTTTAAGGAAAAGCATGTGACATCTTTTTTTACCTTTAATTAAAAGGATTTTAAATAAAAACTTTCTTAGATAAAAATGAATTTTAAGCTAAACTTTATTGTTACTCAATCAATTAAGTGTTTCAGTTCACCTAATTGACAGTTAGATAACAATATATACTAATTTACTGTATCTACCTTTTATTCAAGTAATGTATGTAATTAAATGATATATATAAATTAAATTTGATTAGAAATAGGAAATGATATAATTAAAGTAGTTAAAAAGTTTATCTAATACTATATTAGCAAATATAAAAGTCAAATCTTTTTATAATAATTAATTATTTATTTTACATTAATCAATATAATTGAAAACTAATTTATATATTTTTTAAAAAAACTTTAAAATATTTATAATTTTATTATATATATTTAAAAATATTATAAATCTGAAAAATTTAAAATATATGTAGAATAGCTTTAAAGTTTTTTAAAAAATCCAGATTTTTTTTATAAAAAATAATTAATTGATATATGCTAAGTCTAGTTTGTATACTAAAACTAGTAATCAAAAAGGAGGTAAGAAGTAGATTAAAAATTAGAATACTTATAATAGTAATTCTTTAATACTTTAACTAACTAACTTACTATATTAAAATTTAAAAATAATAAAAAAATATTTAGTAAAATATTAAGAAAGAACCTAAAACCTAAATACAATAAATTATCATTATTTTAGTTAATTTTAGTTAGTATTATTTAATAATTTTAGCTAGAATATTAAACATAATATTTTAATATTTAAATTAATATAAAAATGATCTGAAATTGGTAAATTAATAGAATTTTTTTAGTTTTTTACTAATTCTATGACAATTTTAAAATACTATCAAAATATCAAGTTGTATTCTTCAAATCATATACTTTAAAGATTGATCAAAGTTATGATATAATGTTAGTTAAAATTAACTAAAAATGTATTGCAAATTATTACACTAACTATCTTTTTTAATATTATCTCAATATTAAAAAGATTATTAAATAGATCTAAAAGGAAAGTATTCTTAGTATTTTAATAAATGATTAAAAAGATTTAAAAGTAGGAAAATATATAAATAGCTTCTTAATAATAAAAAGATTATAAATTTTATCAATACTAAGATAATTTTTTAGCAATAAAATGATTAAAAATAAAGAAAAAAATAATAACTATTAGATTATGAAATTATTATTAAATTATAAAGTCATATAACTAATAAATTATAAGTTATTTTTAGACTAGAACATTACCTTTTACTATTATAATATAGTAATATTTAACTAATATTTAAAAAGCTATAAAGAATTAGATTATAAAATTACAAATAGATTATGAAAAACTATATTATTTAGTTATAAAGTTACTATTAGGTTATATATATCATTTAGATTATAAAACCATTACTAAATTAATATTATTATTAGATTATAATATTATAATTAAAATTATGATATCATTACTAGATTATAATGTTATTATTATAATTTAAGCTAAGTTATTATAATTTATAAAATTAATTAGTTTTATTTATATTTATTTTTTTATGATTTACCTTTAAAAAAATTTTTTTTTAAATTTATATTTAGGTTATAAAATAAAAATTATTTAATAGTTTTCTCTTTTTCTACTATATAAATATTAATATTTTTAAATAAATATAAATAGTTTTATTATTCTTTTTATAATTTTAAACTAAAAGATTAATATATTAGATAATATATAATTTTATATTATTTATTTGTCTTGCTTTTTAATAATGTATTTATATTAGATATTTTTATTATTTGTAGATTTAAGATTAAATAAGAAAATATTTAATAAATTAAATGTATTCTAAAATTTTCTAGTTAGATAAAATAAATTAGATATATTCTAAAAATTAAAGTTAGATAGATTAGATATATTTAAAAACTCAAGTTAGATAGAAAAACAATTAATAAATTTAAGATTTTGAAAATTTTAGTTAATAAAATATATTTAGTAAGTGAAAAATATAGAAATTATAAAAAGAATATTAAAAAAATTATAAAAGTATTATCTTTATTTTTTCACATTTAAAAAAAAATTTTTAATTAAGTGATTAAATAAAATAAAAAAAAAATTTATTAATTAAAATAATTAGTTTTAAAAAAATTTTTTTATTATATTTAAATATTTCTTTAAAAGTTTATAATATAAATATTTTTTATGATTTATCTTTAAATATTATATTTTAATAATCAAAAAAATAAAATTGATAAAATATTTTTTAATTTATAAAATGATCAATATACTTATTATTTATAATAATTTTATTTTAAATTAAATATAAAAAATAAAAGTTAAAATTGATCTAAAAATCTTTAACTAATTAATAATAATTGATTCAAATTAATTTAAACCAATACTTTAAATTTTATTAGAATTAGATAATAATTTTTGCAATTATAAAATTTAGTTAAAATTAAATTCATCTATTTTAACTTGTTAAAAAAATTCTTTAATCAATTAACATATTGATTATTTTAATCAATCAATTGGTTTCAACCTCTAATAAAAGTTTTATTATAAGATTAAAAAAAAAGTAACTTACTATAATTAAAATTTTAGATTTAAAAAAATGTATTATTACATAAAATTAAAAATATTATTATTAATACAAAGATATAATATTTTTTGTATTTTTGATATATATTAATTAAACTTATAGGTAAAAAATTTTTTTATATTAACATTAAATATAAACTAATTTGCTAAAAAAAAAAAAAAAATTATATTTAGTTTATAAAGTAAAAATAAGAATTAGTTAATATTATTGATGAGTAAAAATATTATAATAAAAATTATAGAAAATTTTTTAAAACAAAAATATATATTCACAATATATATTTTTTTAAATTAAATTTTTAATTTTTAATAATAATAATATATATACAATATGTATAAAAAAAAATTATTTGCTTATAAAAAAAAAAATCATGCAATTTTTTTTTATATATAATAAACACGTGAAAGAACCTATAATATATATTTATATTTTTAACTTTTGACGGGTTTTTTTTTTTTTTTTTTTTTTATATATGCTTTTGAACACAATAAATGAAAGAAAAAAATATAAAATGTTCTGATATATATTTTTTTTTTTTTTAAAAAAAAAAAGGGAAAAAAAAAAAAAAAAAAAGAGAGTATAACAAAAATGAATCCGAAGCACTTACATAATACGTAAAATCGAAAAAAAAGATTTCAATAATTTAAGGAACTTCCTATTATTCAATTATTATTCAAACTTGATATTAAAAAAAAAAAAAAATTTACAGAGCAAGAAAGTAATACAAAAAACAGCTAAAACAGTGAAAAGTTTAATCGTTCTTAAATTTATTTATTAATCACCATATTCATTGATAGCTTGTCCACCAACTTTAACACCACGGTTAAACATGACAACTCCCGCCAACATTTTCCCCAAGTGATTCTTAGTGGACTTTCCAACTTTCTTTGGAGTTTTATCAACAGACTTTGGGAAATACTGCTTTGGCGTGTTAATGATCGCTTTATTATCATTAGATGTAGAAGGAAAAGATGTTGATTGAAAAGCAGCGACCGATGGCTTTGGAGGGGAAGACGCCAAAGGAAAGTTATTAATGGACCGAGTACTTTTCTTGCGAAGTGGCGGTCGTGTTGGTGGCGCATTTCGCTTTGGAGGAGTGGTATAAGCGCTTTCTTGGTTCATATTTGAAGGACGTTGAGGACTCTTACGAGTAACCGTAGTATTATTATTATCGCCAGTGAGACGACCAGAATCATTCGTATCTAAATTCAATGAGCCACGCCGCCTGTAAGCGCCCAAAGAGTTCAATGTCTTTTCTTGTTTTTCCTTGCGTCTCTGTTCCAAGCGTTCACGACGTTGGTTATAAGAAGACCAATGGCTGTTAATTGTTGTATTGGAGGTAGTTGGGACATTATCGGTTGAACCTTCTCGTTGATGTCCACGAGATCTATAATCACCCCAGGGTTTAGGCTTGCAAAATATCACCTTTGGGGGAGATACGGATAAAGGCGCTTTGGCGGGATTGATATTTTCGTCGGAAGCTTCTGCTCCGACGCATTCTTTAAGCCTCTTGATAATGTTACCATTACCATCCTCATCGGTGCCAAAACCGGAGTCCGCGTCACTGTTATTGGCGTTATCCGCTTGGTTTTCATATTCATCTTTCTCGGCGAATCTTAACTTGGTTTCAACCAATTTGGTGTTTTGTGGCGATCTATACAATGAAGAACGACGACTACTATGCCTACTGCGACTACTATGCCTGCTTAGTGCTATTTCATTTTCAAAATCTCCGAACACATCTGACCATGATTGATGACGGTCGTGTCCTTGTCGTCTCTGAGAACTAGACGAACTTCCTCTAGAAATTGATGACGAAAGTTCTTGATCATCAAACACATCTTCAAGTTCATTCTCATCTAACAACATTCTCTCGACCAATCTGTCGCACCAATTCTTCCATTCCATGATATCAATTCGTCCCCTCCCCACGTTGCAAAATACGCGAGAAGCCAAGAATTGTGCAACATTTTTTGGCATAGTTGGGAACCTTTGCATCAAGAAACCGGCCTTGTCAAGCTGAAATGTAACGAACGTTTTACATTCTTCCGGATTAGGATCAGCCCATGGTGAACGATGGTATAACAGGTTAATAAGTATGATTCCTAGCGACCATATATCAGCTAGACGTGGATTATATGTATCGTGCATAGCATTTCGACACTCTAAAAATTCAAAGTGATCAATATTTTTATTTTAGTTTTTTTTTTTTATAGAAATCAAAAGAAAATCTTATTTTTTCGGTTAACCAACCATAGCTCATGTAAGGTTTAGATCCACAGTCGAAATCCGTCGATTCCTTTTCGTCGGTCGCCAATCCGAAATCCGTCAACTTAACTTGAACACCCTTAAATTCATTATCATTCTTGACCATAACAATAAAATTCTCTGGCTTGAGATCTCTGTGAGCGATGCCTTTCATATGACAATAGCCGACCGCACTTAATATCTGCAGAAAGACCTGTTTCAATATTACCATACGTTCTTTCTCTGATAGGAGCGTGCCGGTCAAAGGATTTCTGCCATCATTATTCTGTGTCAACCAATAATATAAATCTTGACCTTCGCAATATTCGAGTACAAGGAAGAGCCAATCAGGTGTTTCGAAATAATTATCAAGTTTCACGATATTAGGATGTGATAATCGCTCATGGAGGCGTACCTAATCATGCGATAAAACAAAATTGAATTAGCATATACCATCGCATTTTTGAATAAGATCGTATTATTTCACCTCATACCTCATTATGCTGTATTTCTAAATGATAATCCGATAAGTTTGCCTTTGACAAACATTTGAGAGCGTAAAAATTGCCAGTGTTCTTCTCTCGCACCAAGTACACCACAGCATAGGATCCGTTACCAAGAGGTTTGATCAATTGATATGCCGAGCCGTCTATGGGATTAACAATAGTTGATCCGATATCGAAAGGCAATGTGATTGGCAGAGACAATGGTCCAGGTCGTAATGGTTGCTGATATTGGGATATTGGCTCTTCGATTACGGGGACAACAGATCTAACGGGAGTTGATGACGATCTTTTAAACATCATGACTATTTTAGGATGGTGTTTTGTTTTTATTTTTTTTTTTTTTCGAATTTTTTTTAGAAAATATTTAACAATTTTTATATATTTTTTTTTCTTAGAATCGAATAATTATATATAATGGGGGGGGGTTTCCTTTGAATTTTATTGGGGGTGGTGGTGGTGTGGTTTTTTTTTTTTTTTTGGTATTTTGAAGTATTTTTTGCTTCAAGAACCGGCTTGAGTATTAATAGCTTTTTTTTTTTTTTTTTTATATATAATAAATTTTTGTGCAGACGAGAAGGATGAGAATACGGAAGAGATAATTACAGAGTGGAAGTAGGATTAAACTCAAGATAGATATTTTTTATCCAAATATTTCTCGACAGACTTGCGTCTTCGACGTGGTACAGAGATATGAAACAGATAGCAAGAAGCGTGTGTTGTTGTATCTTTAGCTGATGTATAGTACTCGATCTGATCAAAAGGAAAACTAGAGTCCAAATACGTTGTTAACGTGATGGATGATGAGAAATCTGTGTTGTTGAATAAAAGTAAGGTCATCTTTTTGTATAATGGATTCCTTTTTTTTAAAACGCCATACTGACAAACAGTCAGCAATTTTGAAATATGTGTTGAGGAGGGGGTTTTTTTTTAATTAAAAAAAAAAAAAAAAGGTAAAAAAAAAATATAATAAAATAAAGAAATATGTATATTTATGTATAAATGGCTATATTACAATTTAAAAGACAATGAAAAAAAGGATTGTCTCTTAGCTGAGAGGAGAGGAGAGGAGATTAGATGATACAAAAAGTAAGGGATATGCAAACTGTGAAAAATAAAAATAAAATAAAAAGTTTGGATAGGGATCGTGATTTGAAAATAAAATAATAATAATAAAAGGTTGATTTTGTTTCACACGATACCAATATCAATCAATTTTGTGGTTTTTCAAAAGGAGTGATATTTGCTTGCATAACTTTATTAAGTAGGAGACGTGGCACTCGGGATTCTTGTTGAACTGTTAACAGAGCAACTCGAAAAATATGAGAGGAATGCGGTAAGGATTTTAGAACATTATGTGCTCGCTAAAGCAAATAAAAAGAAGCAGAACGTTGAACACAAAACTAAAGTATTATTTTTTTTTAATTAAAGAACAAAAAAAAAAAGTACCGAACTAGGAAAAGGTCTGTTTGAAATCAAATGGGCGCTTTGTAGGGAAGAAAGCAAAAAAAAAAAAAAAAAGAGAAAAACCAGTGTCCTAACAATAACTGTCGAAGTTTTTTTTTGACTCTTTTTTTTTTAAAAAGAAAAAAAAAAAAAGATATTTCTCAATTAGCCAGCTGCAAACGTTCAGGAAAACCAGAGTCCCGCAAACTTATTTGACTGCTCACAGAAAGTGTCGACCAAAGGAGTGAGGGGACGCTTTTATTATTCTTGGACTTTGACGAGTGCTTTTTTCACAAATGTCGCAACTTGATATGGAGTTCCGTCCAGCGCTATTTTTATATTAAAACACGCGTTACAAATAAGTGTATTGAAATAGCGTGACAATTGGAAGACCACAAAGAAGGAAGCTAAAGCAAAAAAGGCAGAGTGAAAAGTCAAATGAAACAGAAAAATATTCGTTAGTAAGCATATTTATATATTTACGAATAAATAAAAGTTTCCGAGCCTCAAAGTGGCTGACGCGTCACTATACACGCACACATATTACATATCACATATATAAACACAAAATAACTAAATAACCATTAAGGTACACGTATTTTGTGCTTTATATGCTCATAAATGTGAGATAACGTGACGTGTAATAAAAAACACAATGAACTCCGACACTTTTGAAAGAAGCTCCTTCAACAAACAAGCGTTGTTGTTTCAACAAACCAACAAACCGAAAACCAATAGAAGAAAAGAAAGAAAAAAAAATATAGTGAAAAGTTACCGACGAAAGCTTGAATCCAATAAGGACAAGAGACACCAAAAATGAGAAAACTATCCAACTTTGGCGAGAAGCCTTCTTTTCTTTTTTTGATTTTTTTTTAAAAAAAAAAAAGTAGTATAATATATATAGAATAGAGAAGAAGAAAAAAGGGGAAGTGAAGGAAGTTTTTGTTGGCTTAGAAAACAATTTTTTTTTTTTATATTTTTCTTATTTTAATTTTTTTATGGAGGTCGAGTGGGTGAGAAAGGACAAGGTTAGAAACGACACACAACGACAGGAGGGCAAAAGTTAGCTGTGTGAGCTCGTTATTGCTTTGGTCCCTCAAAAGAATCAATCAAAGGCGCAAATTTGATTGGAGAGAATCCAAACTGAAATCGAGGAAGGACCGACACTCCTATTTATTGAGAAAGGTTAAAATATCTCGACCAATCAGCAATGACTAGAGCCAAAGTAGAACAAAACCAAACCTTGTGAAGAATTCAAGACAAAAAAAAAAAAGGTGAAAAAAAAGCAAGGCAAAAGGGCTGAATTACCCAACCACAACAACAACAAACAGTTGATATTATAATAAATTAACAATATAACTAATATAAATAAATAATAATAGGGGAATTTTTTTTAACAAAGATGTGAGTTTTTTTATTTTTTTTAGAGTGGAAACTAGCATTTAAAAGGAAGTACTTTGATTTATTTAAATAAGTTGTTAATCAAATCACCCATTCCACGCTTCCCTTCTATCATGTGGTACTAATTCATATCATATAAATGATACACAATTCTATAAATCATCTGATTTTTACCTTTTCAAAGATTTCTCCCATATATGAAACATAATTTAAAATGATTTACTAAATTAAAATTTTATTATAGAATAAGGTGTTTCTCTTTTTTTTTTTTTAGAATTATTTATATTAAATTATAATTGTATGAACAATAATGAGATATTGTTTGAATTGCACAGCCTAAAACGAACTGCTTCAAAATTAGCCTAAACGTAACTGCAAAAGGCTTGCATTGATTCGCTCCAAATCCCTAATCAAGTAAGTCACCTTACCAGTTGTGTTCTAACGAAAATCTTTATCAAGTTTCGTTTTTATTCAAAAAAAAATTTCTTTTAAATCATTTTATTTTTATTATTTTGGGAAATTAATTTATTTTCATCAAAGTAGGAAAGGAGATTGAGAAAATCTATAGGGAGCGATGATAAAAAAAAAAGAAGAATTTCATTTTGGTCATAAATAGCACCACATACAGAAACGATCGATGATTTCCTATTTTAACACGGTATCGTGATTTTTATTTTATTTAATACATAGATAAGCCTGTTCTTTTTCCCAGGGTCTACAGGATTTTTTGCCAAAAATCCAATTTTATAACATTAAATAATTACACGAAATAGGTCAGAGAGCTCCTAAATTATTTTATAAAACGCGTGGGGAATAACAAATCTAAGCCTTATTTTGAAATCCCTTCTAAAAATGGAAAACATATAAATAATAAAAATAAACAAAATAAATGTTGTAACGATTGCAAACAGAAAATTTGAGAATAATTTTTTTTTTTTTCTCGTTTGTGTTCACATAGATTACCCTTCTCTGGAAGGTTCGTTCTGGAATATGTTATAAAAAAACTTATGTGAGAGTCATATGTGTAAAACACAACATATAGTTCGGTCAACAATGATCATTTCACCAAAAATTGAAGCGTTAATTAATCATCGTGCATAAATTACGTGACACGGTGAAACAGAAATCAATTTACCTTTGAAGAAAACGCGAGAAAGATCAAACCTCCTACGTGAAAAATTATCACTTGACCAGTCTCGGTAAGGTATTCATTTTGCCATTCTAGTTCGTGGGCGGTATTTTAGTTTACATAAAAAAAATACCTTGTTTCCCAACAAAAATAATGATTTTTTTCAAAAAACAATTCCTCATTGTTAAGATATATCTATCACACTGTAAAAATTACATAATTAAAAAAAAAAAGGTTTTAAAATGTGGTAATGGTATTCAATTCTCACGCAATTTTAGTTTGATAAGATTTAGTATAACATTAGTATAACATTCCAATGAATAAAAAAAAGGGGGAGCTTTGCCACAAATTTAATCGTGTGAAAAGGAAATTAGATTGTATTTTTGGTGCTTTTCTAGAGAATTCATCATTTACTATTGTAGTTTACGGATCTAAACATCTAAACATTAAAGTTTACGTTTCACCACATTTAATATTGCTTAAAAAGTAATTCATAGTTTTATTATATCTCAATATATCAATCTTCAATGATGATGACATTCATTATAATTATAATACCATAAAAAACCGTTTGTACAAATTTAACAAATATTCTACTTTCGGGCCGAATTATTTTTGTTTGGACGTGGGACGGAATTTAGAATTTACATTCTGTGCTCCCTTCATGATTCGTCATTCGTCTCCCCAATTCTTTTTTTCTAAATAAATAAATAAATAAATAAATGAATGAAAGAAAATAAATTTAAAATCATTTTCATTTTCATTTTTTTAATTTTTTAACTTTCCTTTCATTCCGGTTTACAAACTCGCCTATTACATTTCTCGCTTATTAGGTAACCTCCTGACATCAATTCCCGCCGAATCTAAATCACGATCATCTTTTCCTAGGTAGGAAAATATCAAAAGGTTTTCTTGATAATGCAGATCAAACCAACGTCAGGTGATGATCTGACCATAATTTAGTAAACATTATGGTAGGTTGGGTAAACCTTTTTTTTTTTTTTTTTTTTTCCTTCTCTTATTCGCTTTTGATACTTTCAATCAAAATATATTTCTAAATGGGTGCAATATTTGTGACGAATCATATTACACATGATACTACATACATATTTTTTTTAACTAAATTTGGATGATTTTATTTTTTTTATGGAACAATATGTATTCCTTATTTAACATGATAATGACGTGAAAAAAAATTCTTACGAAAGGGAGAAACTTTTTTTTTTTTTTTTTTTTTTTAAAAAAAAAAAAATAATAATAACTAATATTATCATCCATTTAATAAAATTGCTCTATGGAGAAAAAAAAATAATCATAATTCAAAATTTATTTATATATAAAAATAGCGAACATCCAAGAACGATAATTAATAATACGGGAGGTTGATTTAACTAGATATTTATTTAATGCCAACCCTTCCCGTAAAAAATTGCCCACTAACCGAGCTTTATTACAATGATGCATAACCGTTGAACAAACTCACTATTTGTTTATCATAAGCGGAATGCATAAAACTAGAAGTGATTGTAATGTCGATAGGCTGAAGTAAATTTGCATAAGGGGCTTGTCGTCGTCTTTGTTGCTCCGGTTGCTGTTGTTGTTGTTGTTGTTGTTGTTGATTATTAGTCGTTTGTGGTCTCGAATCCGTCAGCGAGCTCGAGCCCATCATTTGTTCATGTGAGCCTGAATCAATCTCCATCTCTTGCCCACGTGAGCTCACATCTATCTCTTCTTGTTCAGGCACAGTCAAATCTATCATTTGTTTTTGAGGACTTGAATCCTTTTCAGTAGTATCCATCGTTTGTTCTTGAGAGCTCTCAACTACTTCTTGTTTTGACACGGTCAAATCTATCATTTGTTTTGGCAAACTAGTTTCTATCTTTTCCATCTGTCGTTCTTTCACAGTCGAATCTATCTTGTTTTTGTCTTTCTCTGCCTCTCGTTCTTGCAAGGTCAAATCTATCACTTGTTTTTTATTCTTTGAATCTTCCTTCTTCTCTTTTTCGTTATTTTGCCTCCTATTGCTCGTACCGGGTTTGGTTATCGCAAAGGTTGAAAGCAAAAGTGATGGAACAACCGTCTTCTTTTCCTTTTTTTTTTCTTCAACAAAGGGTTCCCCATTTATCATGGGTCGGAATTTCATACTGGTTTTACCGCTAATTCTAGGTTGATAAACGTATTCGGGGTAAGTATAATCATGTACCTTCTTTGCACAATCGGCGATGATTTCAAATAATTGTTTGATTTCATTCGATTCATCTGCCCATTTCTTCGCTGCCAAATTTGATACCACTTTAAAATTTTTCGCCGTCGCACTCCCTTGTTCACTGGAGATAATTGCATGTAAATTCCTTCTATACAAGACAAAATTGTTTTGTGGCCTTGGTATACTATTACAAGCCTTACGACGAGTTCCCAACCTCGGAGTGATAAGTGTTTTAAGTGGTATGGAAATATACCGTTCTATCTTCGCTAAAGTCCCTGTATCAATGTTATTCGCAATGATATAGTCGACAATTTCGGATTGTGATATAAGTTTTTGCCCCGTTGGTCCCTCAGTTTTCGATTTTTGACTTAACTTTGGTGAAGGGTATGGTGCTAATTCTCTATCGAATCTCGTTTCAAACCAATATAATGACATCCTTTTTTAATCATGAAAAAAGGAAAAAAAAAAAAAAAAAAAAAAATTAAAAACAAAATAATAAAATAAAATAAAAAAAAAAAAAAACAATTCTTTATCTTATTTTATAATTTTTAATTTTTTTTTTTTATTTTATTATTATTATTATTATTTATTATTATTATTTTTTTTTCGTTAACGAAAGCGGATGAAAGAAAAGAAAATTTTTTCATGGAAAAAAGGAACCTTCTCCTTCAAGGCAAGTTATTTATATCATTATTTTTATTTACACGAGCCTCTGAAATTGCATTATTTACTAAAAGCGTTAATGTGTAAAATTTGTATTTGCCGATCTTTTGAAGATCATGACAATTAAGGTATCCCAATTAGGACAAATAAATTAAACCATCCTGCCGTAATCACGTGATTTTATCACCTTTCCAATCTTCCGTATTATAATTATAATAAAAAAGATTCATTTTAAAATTATTTTATTTAATAAAGTCATCCTTTTGAATTTGAATTTCAGAGCAAAAAAAAAAAAAAAAAAAATGCTAAAATAATATTAATGATATTCTTATTATTGCGGTTTAATCTTGCGAATTCTTTTTTTTATAGAAAAAAGAAATAAAAAATTAGAATTTGATACAAATGAAGAAAAAAAAAAATCTATAATAATAATAATTGCATTAAAAAACCTTTTAATTTCGTATATTGAGAAAAATGTCAGTCATCAACTACAATTACAAAAGAATATAGAGAATAAAAAAAGATACGAGCCGATATTTTTTTTTAAAAAAAAAAAAACAAAAAAACAAAAAAAAAACGCCTTACTCAGTTAAATGTTACCAGACAATAACATTTCAATAGCTGCGTTGACATTTCCTCCACAAGCCAGCAATGCCCTGATATTTTTCTGTGCATCCCAAAATCCCATTTCATTCAATTGTTGAAGTTGCGTCTGAAATCTTTCTTCCGGAGGTTGTTGTGGCGTAGATGGAGGGTTGAGGCCCCACAAAAATGATTGATCAAATCCAGCAGGCATTGAAGGTTGAGTAGAATTTGGGTTACCTGCAGCAAAGGCAGGATTAAGGAAGCTAAAAGGATTAATTGCAGGTGTTGATGTATTAGGTGCTGTACTGCCAGGTGTTGTACCTCCTGTTGTGGTTGTTGTTCGATTAGTCGTGTCTGTTGTAGAAGGTTGTGTAGTCGTTGCGGGATTATTTCCAATAGGTTGTCCTAATCCACCCAATCCACCCAATCCACCAAATCCGGATAAACCACTACCTCCAGTAAAAGGTCCTGGAGCTCCCCCCATATACGAAGATAAAGCCGCCATGTTCCTAAGTGCCTCAGGATTTGACATGAGTGCTTGAAATTCTGGGTCTTGCATCATTTGTCTCAATTGTGGTGCCATTGATGCAAATTGTGGATTCATAGCAATCACATTATCAACGAATCGAGGGTCTTGCAACATTTGCGACATGTACTGCATGGTCGTAGGATTGTTAAGTAATGAATGTAATGTATCTACATTTCCTCCGCCGTATGTATTACTAGGAAATCCACCTAACCCTCCAAATAGGTTTGGTGGTGTATTGTTTGTAGAAGGAACGGGGGTTGGCGTGGCTTGAGGAGTCTGAGTAGTTGTGTCTCGTTGAGGCTTCGCTTTTTAATTAGAATACCAAAATGGGAAATTAATTAATGAAAGATCTATAAACAAGTGCGATTCTCAAACGATATAATATATTTAATTAATTAAGCAAAGAATAAATAATAAACAAATTTAAACCACTAAAAAAATGACCAAATATCTTCCATCCTCCTTTACATTACTCCTTAATTTGTAAATTGATAAAAGAAAAAAAACCATACCGGCTGGTGTAGATCCATCAGCGGCTGCAATATTATAAGTTTCAAGTGTATCAGTCTTTACTTTACCAGAGTATATATTCCTTAATTTATAAACAACATACCGGCTGGTGTAGATCCCCTCACCATATGAACAGTGTGACCGTCTGCGATTTTATAAGTTTCAAGTGTATCAACGTCTTTTAAAACTTTACCAGAGTATATTAACCTTTGTCTATCTGCTGCAGTATCACATTTTTCAGCAATTGCCTGTTTGAATTCTAAAACCGTTTTAGAAGTGTCTATCTTTACGTTATACTTTTGATCGTTAGAACTTTTAACGGTAATAGTTATTTCTGGCATTTTGAGAATAGAAAAAAATGACTTTTACTAAAAAAAAAATGGGTAGAAATTCAAATATATATATTTTTTTTTGTCGTTATCTTATCAATTATCAGTTAAACAGTTACAAAAACGAAATGCAACGTTCACGTGATTGATGGTTTAGCGCAGAATTATAGCGCAGAATTAAATTTTCTTGCCTCAATTTTTAATTTTTATTATTCTTGTTTTTTATTTGAATAATTAAAAAAGAATAAAAAAAAAAAAAAAAACCCCCCCCCCGCAAAGTTCATAATCAGTATTTGAAAATCATTTTTTTTTTTTTCCCAAATATTTCTTTAAAGAATGATACAGTAAAACCCATACATCCCTTTTTGATCTTACATATTTACTTCTAGGTATTTCAAATTGTAGTTAAAGATTGATAAAACATCTTTACCCTTTCATGATACATCACTTTTTCTCTTCTAAATCCAGTAACTTGAAGTGATTTGGCTGAAGTCGCGCGAGAAAGAGCTACATATGCTTGTCCCTTTTCAAAAACCTTACTAAGATCAACTTTTACCCTATCTAACGTTTGCCCCTGACTTTTATGAATGCTAATTGCCCATGAAAGGACAAGAGGAATTTGTTTACGACTAGCGAGGACGACGTCACCAGGACTTGTCAACTTCCATTCGGCTTCTTGTATAACCATTTCACATAAATGTGTAAATCTTACAATAGGAAGTAATTTTACATCCGCCATCCCTTCATCTTCTCCATTGTAGTAGCTTGTTCCATCTGCTTGATTATAAAATCCCACCACGACACCTCGACTTCCATTGACTAGTTCCTTGGATAGATTTTTAATGAGCATCACTTGCGCATTACGTTTGAGTTCCAACTTTTCTGGCGCAAGACAACTCTTGCAAAGGGTCTGTAACTGTCCAAATCTGAGTGGTTCCCAATCAACGGAAGCATAAGTGTATAATTTATGAGAGATTTTGCCTAGTTCCGTAGCATTGGCCTTATTCACCATATCATTAATCGGATATAGTTCTGTCGGTCTGATTCCGTCATCGGGATAGTTTGGTTCAATTTCCAATTGTTTAAGAAGCACCAAGGACTTGTCGGACATTTCACCAATACGCATCTCATTCAGTAATTCTATAAGCTCTGAATCCTTTTGTCTGTATATTTTAGTTAGTTGGATAGTATGTTTAATGCAAACCTTCCATCTGTCAGCATCAAAGCAAAATTTACTACTCCTGTCTTTTGAAACCGGTGGAAGTTGAAAGAAATCCCCGGTAACTACAAGTTGTAACCCACCAAAAGGACGATTATTATTTCGAATCGCCCTGGCTATAAACTCCAATTTATCAAATAATTGTGCGTCCAACATCGATATTTCATCAATAACCAAAGTATCAATAGATTTCCATCTAGTGCGTGCTGCGACGGATTTTTGAACTTGCTTAATAAGTTCTGGAGCTAAGCCACGCCCAAGACCCACTCCTGCAAAAGAATGAAGCGTAGTTCCACTTATGTTTACTGCGGCTATTCCGGTAGTTGCAGTGACCGCTACTGATTCGCTGCCATAACGAGCCTTTAGTGATGAAATTATCCTTTGGAGTAGAAAACTTTTCCCGGTTCCAGCAGATCCGGTAAAGAAAATATTCTCTCTGTTCAATACCACTAAATCAAATATACGTTGTTGTTCCTCGGAAAGTTCGTGATTGCTTGACGTTTCTTTGTTATTATTATTCACTTCACTTAGGACGCCTCGATTCTTTACCACAGTTTCCAAATATCTTTTTTTCGAATTTGGTTGCCAAACATCATCATCCGACCATTCACCATCAAAAGTATAGGTATCACCTTTTCTTTTTTGCATAAGTACAGCGGCTGAATTGTTTTCGGATTTCAAATGTTCTTGTTTTTTATCCATACCATTTTCTGATGAAATCCTCTGAGCAGAAGAAGTGGTTGCGTTTTTCTGATTATTATTAGATGAAGATTTATTCTGAAAAGAGTTTTTCTGGTTAGATGTTGAAGATTTATTCTGAAAAGATGAAGTATTTTGAATAGAAGGAATGGGAGTGCTTTTCTGAATAGATGGTAAAAAATTATTATTATTCTGAACAGAAGGAATAGGTGTGTTTTTCTGAATGGACGGTGTGGTAGCTGGATATTTTTGAAAAGCGGATCGAAATGCTTTTGTATTACGTTGAGTCTTTCTGGTCATCAAAGTTTTTTCTGATGCTTTAAATTTAGCAAGGTCTGCTTTGGAATAAGATGAGGAAGTTTCATCCAATGAAGGATTAGCGTCATTTTGAGCTTTTTCAATCATTGTTAAATTTCCTTGATCTTGAAAATATGAAGAATAAGACATTGCTGAAATGAATCTTCCCGTAAAGATAATTTACAAAAAAAAAGAAAATAAATAAATAAATAAAAATTATTTTCTTATTACCGTGTTCATAAATATTTATTTTTATAATAATATCTGTCGTTAATATTAAAAAGAATTTAATTTAAATGCTCACCCGAAAGTTTAAATTTACTACTTATATAGACTGAATAATTGTTTATAATATAGCAGGCCCTTCTGTAATAAGAACAAGAAGTTTTATAGTAAAAGCTAGAATCCAAAATACGACGCGTTAAAAAACTCGTGTCGTATTATATAAAAGCTGTTGATCACTAAAAAGGTTAAATTTTTTTTTTATAAAGCCCAATATCACCATATCACGTGAATTACGCACATAAATTGGTATACAGACTACGCGTCCACTCAACCAATCAGAGCCCTTATCGATCAACTAATAAAATTATTAATTACTACCATTTAATTCATAATTCTAACAAATCAATTTCATTGATTTCTAATTATTAAATATTAAGATAATTAAATTTAAATATTTTATATCATATAACATAACATAATTTTGAAGGCTAATTTTAACTATTTTGACTATTTTGAATATTTAATTTAACTTTATATATAAATATTTAACTAGAAAACTATAAATAAATAAATAGAATCATATAAACTAATAATATTGATTAAACTTATATTAAATCTAATTAAATTTATCAAAATTATTAAAAATATCAAATATATTATTTTAGTTTTTAAATTTACATTAAAGAAATTTAAAATAACTAAAATACATTTGTATTTTTTTTTTAGATTTTTATTATTATTATTTATATTATTATTTATGATAAAAGAAAAAACTCTTTCTGCTTTCCAGACAAAATGCCAAAAAATAGTAGAAATAAAAATGCTAACTGTAGTCATTCAGCATTATCAACAAGTATCTAATAATCACAAAAAAGACAAAATACTTTACAGATAATCAAACTAACAACCTCTTTAGTTGCTCAAACAAATAACACTACTTCTTTATTAACTAGCAAAGGCAAAGAAAAGGAAGTCACCCTAACAGTCAACACAATTTCACTAAATACTATGAATGTGAACGATAACTCAGACCTTTTAGAAAATAATATTATTACAGAGAAAGATATTCTCACCTTTACTCTCTTAAAAATTTTTCACGTACTGTTTACTCAAAAAATACAAAGATGAAAATCCCTAACAAACATTATCAATCAACATTACATAGAGCTACTTTCCTTTTCAGGAAAAATACATAATAAATCTCCTGTTAATCCTAAACAAAAAATTCTCAAGCTTGCCTTTTTAAGTAAAGATGAATGAGATAATTTCTGCAAGGTACAGATTTCACAATTGGATAATGTCATGTTTCTCTCATTAATCATTCAAAAGCAAGCTTCTTATGTTCTAAAACTTTACATCATAATGACTGAAATTTCACTTGACGTTACTGAACTATACCTAAAGAAATTATTTTTTAAATATAGCACAATTACTCGCATTACTATAGAAATCCATAATTTGTGGTAAAGAACTACTATTACCTTTAAAAAATCCAATAACTTTACTAAACTTGATAAAGGAGATAGTATCTACCTCTTTAATGACATAATTAAATTTTATTGTAGCAACGTTTTACATGAAGTTATCTAAGAAAGATCTAAATACTTAATTAAACTTACCAACCTCTCACGTAATACTACCTTATGTAATTTAATGAATATTGATCGCTTGGTAGATGCTATAGCATGGATCATTTTTCAGGCTCAGTCTAATTATAATTATTTCAACATACTTATTTTTACTTTACCTCAGCTGCACTATACGAGGTGGCAAAAAAAATTACTGACTTCACTTAAATGAAAAAAAAGTTGAATAGACAGACTTTAAACAGAAACTATGTGCAATTTACTTCTCTGCTTATTATAATGTAATAAGTTATCCTAAATAGAGACAATCTCTAAAAACTGAAATATACAGCAACTTAACCAGCGGTTTTAGCCAGCACAATTTCATAATTACTCTGCTTCTAAAAAATAACTTCAACAGAAAGCAGTTAGAGATAACATCATCTTTGTTGACGCTACAGCTTAGACCGCTTAGTCACAATTAATTTTTTTACATTAACATTAAGATGTTATACAAATTATACTAATTTATAATTGTAAAGTTTTTTTCCATTTTTTTAAAGCACATAACCTGAGCTACAAAAATATGGATTTGTTTTTCTGATTTATTTATTTGATTAAAAGTTATTAAGCATTAAAATTTGTATTCTTTAATATGTACATCTAAAATTTGCCACTAAGATCATTTCTTTTTTAGTATAATTAACTGATTTAAAAAGGAAAAAACCAAATTTTTTTTAGGAGGAAACGAATAAATTTTTTTTCAAAAGAAAACAAACAAATTTTTTTTGCCAAGAAGAAATAAATGAATTTTTTTTCTAGGAGAAAACAAATGAATTTTTTTTCAGAAGAAAATAAATAAATTTTTTTCTTTCTTTTTAGAAAAAACAAATTTATCTTAAAGAAGACCAAAATTTTTTTAAATGAATTGAATTTTTTTTCTTTTTTAAAGCAAATTTTTTTTAGAAAAAAGGAGGATCAGGTTTCTTTTTTTTTAATTTTTTATA